GGATTGGGAACACCCGCACAAAAAGCAAAACCACAAGGGCTGAGAGAAACAAGAAGAAAAAGTAAAGATAATAATGCAAGCAAACTATAACACAGACGGTGTGAAAGAAAACCCAAAGCGGTATGAAGGAAAGCAGCACTTATTAAAGCACAACGAAGAAAGCAAGAAAAAATTATAGGTGACCCTCACGAGAAGGGCCTTCTCCCCGGAACAAGTGCCCTCGGATTTGTCAAGCAAACAAGCGCCCTTATGTCTGTTGCATGGGATTCAAGACGCCTCGTAAGAAAGTTATCGTGCATTTCTCCCTTAGGATGTTTAGAATAATCAGCTCTTCCGTGTCCATTCATGTGCTCGCTTCCTTCAGAATGATGGGGCCTTGGATGTGATAGGATTTTTCTTTCCCTCCCATATAGTTCTTGCGTATTGCCTTCGTGCCCCGAGTTAGTAGAGTGTGGGGTTTCTTCTGTTGTGGTTGAGTGCGTCGATGCATCGCTTGGAAGAGGGCATATAAAGTAGGCGCAGTCGAGCTTAGCGCCGCTTCGGGGATTATAGAGAGCAACAAAAGACCTATTACGTGCGTGTGCATAAGATACTGCGTTGTCGCTGGTGTAAACAGGAGGAATCTCATTAAAATATGTAAAGGCTTTGCCCCAGTAAGCGAGAGCAGCAGAACAATCACCAGTTTCACCTGTCTGCACCGCGAAGGCGTATGTTCCTCTTCTTTTATAGGTAACGTACGAGCTTCTGATGGTTCCTTCCTGGGACGTGGGAACAAAACAGAGCGGATAAAGACCGCTTATTCATTTTCTGTCTTGCAACGGCCTGAGGAGATTGAGGGTGTAGAGGGTAATGGAGGAGTTTATAAGCCGAAAAAGCTTTCGCTCACCTCTGTCATTGTCTTACAAACAGAATCTACGTATTCTTCATCATCAGTAAGCAGTTTCTGCTCTTCAAGGGTCTCAGCAACAAAGGGACTGAAGCCCGCGTGCTCTCTTGCCTCGTTGAACACACTCAGACAATCTATGGGTACTGCAAGCACTCAGATCCACAATAATGTTCCAAATAATTCAAAATAAAAATACTAAAACCTTCAGAAATGCAGCCTTATACATAGAAACACGTACTTGCCCTGTTTGAGGGGGAGTCTTCATTCTCTCCCGCGCTCCGAACAGTACTCAGCGCAGTCAGAGCGAGAAAAACAACTAAATAACGTCCCATCTTGATCAGGACATCAATCGCAACGAGGTGTAAAAACTTTAAAAATTATTTTCATATGAAATTAACAGTTTCCGCCGCTTTGTCTTCGAAGCAGAAAGAACTTCGCAGCACAGTACTGCTCTCTGTCTGGGGTGCCCCCGGCACTACAACGGTACTCAAGCAGGTCCTCTAGAGGCCTATTAAGCGGAAAGAATGAAAAAATGAAGTCTTAATATAAATAAAGCAAGTAACATGAAATAGAAAAGGAGGTATTGAGGCTAAGGCTCCTCAGCAAGGACCCTAGGTGTCCGGGGTTGGCTCTCAGGCTCATACTACTGCCGCCCTGGCGCCGACCCGCTGAGAGGTCTCCGGGGTAATTCTACTACTTTTTGTCTTTCTTCTTAAGATTTAAGAAGAAAATTTGTTTTTTAAGGGTTTAACATTTTCTGTGATTTCATCAATGGACGATTCCCTGGGTTTAACCCCATTTGTTGTAACAGCCGTAGGTGGGAGCTGTCCAGTGTCTCGAGATTCCTCAGGCCGCTGTTAGCAAGAGAGGCATCACTATGATAGCAAACTTCTTGGTATTAATTAATCATTTATTGCATTTCAGTAGGTTAAAAGCCTTAAATCGTACATATTTCATTCGGAATAGAGAGTGAAGGGAACTAATGGCCGCCAACAAAAGGATAATGAGTGACCAAGCAGTACGGAAAGACGCACTACACACCTTGAGGTATCTTTTAATTTCTATTTAGCCAAAAAGTTTATGTTTTTGTATATTAATGGGAGGAAAACACAGAGATCTTGGCCCCCAAATACGCAACAAATCCTCGTCAAACCTCCCCGTTTTTAAGCTGCCTCTTTGTAGTAGAAAGGTGACTGTTAAACACGGGATATTGAATTATCGCTTTTCAATCGTTTTACTTCCCTTTTAATAACTCCCTGTTAGTGTACATGCAATTGGAACACTTTGCATGCTGTGACCCCAAGCTGCTATACATTTCTGTGGCACTTAACAAACTTTTCATTCTGCTCCTAACGAGGGGTCTCCACCGTAGCAGAAGACGTTCGTGAGCTGCAGTAGAGTCATAAGCGTAGAACAGCAGTTCTTAAAAAATAACCGACGCCGCCTCCGATCCCCTCTTGTCTTAGGCGTAGGAATGAAAAAAATGAAATTGCGGTTTCCCCACGTACGCGCAGAGTGGCTGGTGAGGCCGGTGCCCCAAAATATATAAAATGAATCAAAGTGTTCTCGGTAGCGTCGCTGAAATAGCTACAGGTGAATGGAGAATCGTATATCACAGCAAAAAAGTTATCCCCGCAGAGCGCCTTATACAAAGTCATGGAAACCCATGCACAAAGCTCAAAAGTAACTACCTGTACGGAGTTGTAGTTGGTGCTAATTAAAACTGGAGTATGCATGCGCACTGTGCTGTCTACTCATCATTGCACGCGCGTTCAGAATCTCAGTCTCCTCCACCTGCTCCTTTCCGCAGTGGCGTTGCTGGCCTTTCGGGGGGGAAGTTTCGAGGACGAGAGACTTTCGTTACCTCCTTGAGCTGTTTTAGAAAGCCGATATTAACAGCGTATTGGCAGCTCCACGTTAGGAGTAAATCGGCAAAGTACGCCAATATGTAGAAAGAGCCGCAATTGACCAAAGCCAACGCATTTGGCCTTCCTTCGGCTGCCAGTCCTCCTATGGCTTTTTGTATTGCACATGCATCCACTGAAAGCAAATCAGTAGGGTTGAAAGTAACTGCTAAACCTCGTTTGTTGTAGGTTCTTGCCTGGTGGTGGTTTGCTGGTTTTGTGACTCTTTCATATTCTCAAGCTGTCCAGCTGCTGCATACTATGTAGGGAAATGAGTTGCTGACCGCCTACGGAGCTGGGTGTCGTCAACCAATTCCATCAACACTTCAGGAGGAGAACAACGGGAAGAAGCGGTCACCGTTGTACCATGAATATATTCCTCAAGGAAGAAAATTAAGAAATTTTGATGAATGTTGTTGGGTCTAGCGTCGCGAATACTGCAGAAAAGTACCGCTGATCCGCTCAGTTTGACCGTCTACTTCACAGTCTGCTTCACAGTGGTTCTCGGTGTTCATGTTACGCCCGGCTCCAGAATGCGATAAAGAACTACCTTGTGAGTATGGTGTTTATTCGAAAGCCGTGGGGGCTCAAGAAATAATCAATAAATAATTGGGCTACTCCGTATGCTGAAACTAAACGCGAGACGAAGGTGAAGTAGGCAAGTTTGCTGAGTACAGCCTTTGACAGATGGACGGTGTCCAAACCATGATATTTCTGTCCAGTCCCGTTCAAGGATTGGGAGACCTTTCACATGCCTTGGTCTCAGATTGTTCTACCGCCTTTGCTGTTGACATTCCTTACAAGCGAAGGCATATTCCTCTTGTGGGGAGTGCATTCTAAGCAAACGAAAGGAGGTAGCTACCCGCTGCACTGTTGCGAACGTGTTGAACTCATTCTATATTCCTAATAATGACATTACAAGATTATATTTTGGGACATAAGGTAGCTATACCTCGCTCGGAATAACCACATCAGAGATACCTGTAAGTGTTTGCTATGGTACGTGCACTACAGAGTCGTATCTGCCAGCTGGCATCTCCTTCCTTGTCTTATCTTTCTCTTGCAGAAGCTGGCGTTTACACCTACAACATCCACACTCTGTATATCTGGGCCACTTGTAAGACCGTTTCCATAACTAGGGCGGTACATGCGGCACCTCCCCTTAAGAATAACTTCAACATCCTGGCTAGTTTCTAGCCTTCCATGTCTTGGTTCCTAACTCCTCAGCCAGAAGAGCTACAGCTTGCATCTCTGAGGGGGACATCCCTGTCATAAGCCAAGCTTCAACAAGCAGTGGGACTTCTGCACACTAAGGAATGATTCTTCTCGGCGTAGAGCTCCATTCATACCTTCCTGAGAATAACCTGTTCCTTTGCCTCTCGGATGAAAGCACACTTACAAGCAAACCCTCCCCTCCTTGTTGCATGAGCGAACGCCGTAGCCAGCTGCTGCCTAGTTGGTTGGCCCTTATAACCTAGTCTGCATACAGGTAGAAACACACAGAATAGCAGTATGCTACATGAGAGTAAGAGTTTCTTACAGGCATCGACGGCACCTGAGCTTGAGAAGGGGAGAGAGGGGGATACTTAGGATAGAGGAATACTTTTCCATTAAAATAACAATAGATTATAAGTAATTGCATAGAAGAAACACCTGTATAATTTGTATCGGTGCCTCTGCACACAGTAGAGTTGTCTTAAGCTAGTCGAGGGAAGTCTGGGGTTAAAATGGGTGTGTATTCATGGAATACAAGGGGTAAAATAAATAAAATAAAATAAAATAAATTTTGTTTCTTATTTTAAAGAGCTTTCTTATACCAATCAGGAGTAATACTCAGCTTTCTGAAAGCCATCTATCCTATAGAAGCCAGCCTTCACTGCTCGCCAGTCGTAACCAGTGCAGCTAATACTAAAGGGGCTTGCTCAGCATCATATGTGTGCTTTTCTTGACTCTTCTTTGCCTTAAGCAAGCTATTTAAACTCAATTTTGTATGAAAATACAAGAAAATTCAGAAAAACAAACAATTAACGACGCCTCTCTCCTCATACCTGCTCCGGTGGCTCCGCTCCTCAGTGCTTGCAACTTTCTTCGTTGTATATTCTGTAGGAGTATTGGGTTGTTTGCTTCTTTACGTGTTGGTGTGTTGTTATTTAGTCATTTAAACCCCATACCCTAAACCCTAAACCATAAACCCTAAACCCTTGTTCAAGATGCCGCCGCCTTCTGCTCCAATCCCCGAGCTGGGGGAGTTTATCATAGCCAATAAAGACAAACTAAGAAAGAAAGATTCTGAAGCAGAAATGAATAAGTGAGGAGGCTCACGCACAAACGCTGTTGTTACACAGGAAATGAATTCCTTTGCTACCTGTGTGGAACCTAAACCCTAAACCCTAACGGCGATTTAGGGTTTAGGGTTTAGGGTTTACGGTAGACAAAGCCTAAGCCCCTATCCAGCCTCTTCATACAGACCGGGCCGGGGCTTCAGGAGCGCGTTTGAGGTGTATATACAAATTTCTAGCAGCTATTAAGTGCTGCACGGGCGTGCTTGCTGCTGCTTTGTGTGTATGCACAGGTTGCTTACAGCTATCAAGCTAGCGGCGAAGGTTGTTAATAGAGAAATTAATATGGCGGGCCTTGTGGATATCTTAGGGGCTGCAGGGAACCAAAACATTCAGGGAGAAGATCAGCAGAAGTTGGATGTCTTTGCGAACCGGAAATTCATTCAGGTGACCCACTAAACCCTAAACCCTAAACCCTAAACCGTAGGGTTTAGGGTTTAGGATAAGTTGGATGTGGCTGCCAGCAATACTTCTGTAAATGAGTTCAGCACACACATAGCCTCCCATGAGCTGCAGCGAAGTCCCCCAGAAGAGGCGAGGGTTTAGGGTTTAGGGTTTAGGGTTTAGGGTTTGGTTCAGGCTCTGGTGAATCGAGAAGTTGTTTGCGGGATTTGTACGGAAGAGGACGATGACTTCATCCCTGTCAATCCAAATTGCCACCTTGTCCTTCTTATGGACCCTCTAGATGGTATGCCTTGCATCGTGCTGCTGCTGCTGTTGCTGCTGTTGCTGCTGCTGTTGTTGTTGTTGCTGCCGCTGTTGGCTTCCGGTATGATGCACAATTTGCCTTTTTGTGCTGCTCATGGACCCTCTAGCCTTTGCTGCTGCTGCTGCTGTTGTTTCTGGCATTGCTCTTGAGGGTGATGCGCTTCCTGCAGCAACAGCAGCTGCTGTTGCTGCTTCTGTTGCTGTTGCTGCTGCTTTGAAGAGGTTACAGTGTCGCGTATTCCCCTTCGAATTTTATTTCCTCAGTGCGCTGCATGCCGACCATCCAACCAGCGGCAGTGCATGCATGCACATTCCGCCTATAGGGTTTAGGGTTTAGGGTTTAGGGTTTATGCATGTTTGCTTTAAGGATCTTCGAACATCGATGTAAACGTCTCCGTGGGGACAATATTCTCTATTTTTCAGCGGGTGTCTCCTGTGGGGCAGCCCGTTGAAAAGAGAGACTTCCTCCAACCTGGGAAGGAGCAGCTAGCAGCAGGTTATGTCTTGTATGGATCCAGCACCATGCTGGTGGGTGCTGCTGCTGCTTTTGCTGCTGGTGCTGCTGCTGTTTTTGCTGTGGGTGGTGGTGTTGGGGGTCTTCTGCTGCTGCTTCTCATGCTGCTGCTGCTGCTTCTCATGCTGCTGCTGCTGCTGTTAGTGTTGCTGTTGTGGTTGGCTCCATATCTCCTGGAGCTTCTGGTGCTGTTGCTGCTGCATGCGTTGCTGTTGCTGTTGCTGTTGCTGCTGCTGCTGTTTTGGGAGTTGGAAAGAGGTGCTGATCCGTGCAGATGCGGTGTATGTACGCATAGCTAAATTCTGCTGCGGTTGGGGTGTACGTGCAGGTGATGACGACTGGGTCCGGTGTAAATGGTTTTACACTCGATCCCTCTCTCGGCACTTTCTTTCTTTCTCACCCCAACATGCACTTTCCGGTGTGTATGTACACTCCAAACCCCAGCTCCTCCTTTAGGATTTAGGGTTTAGGGTTTATGGTTTATGGTTTAGGGTTTAAGCGGTGTTCGTGCAGGAGAAGGCAACGATATACAGCGTGAATGAAGGAAACCACAAGGCCTTTCCTGATGGAGTTAAACGCTTTATTGACGAAGTACACAGTGGAGCGGTGGGCGACCCAGGACTGAGGGTTTAGGGTTTGGGGTTTAGGGTTTGAGCTTGATAAACCGAGGATTACTGCCTCGCTCACTTCTCACCTCCTGAGGTGCAAAGAGAGCTTCCTTACCTCTTGCGATAACACAATGAAGCCTATGGAATTATAGGGGTTAGGGTTTAGGGTTTAGGGTTTAGGGTTTAGGGTTTGTGTGCAGAACGGGCAGTTCTCTTTGCGTTACATTGGGAGTTTAGTCTCTGACTTCCATCGGAATTTGCTGCAGGGCGGCATCTACATGTACCCCCCAACAAAGAAAGGTTAAAGAAACCCTAAACCCTAACCCCTAAACCCTAGCCCCAGCATCTCTGTAAACCCTAAACCCTAATGCCAGCAGCATCTTGGTAAACCCTAAACCCTAGATCGAATGCTGCAGCGGATTGTGGGTGCGTACTTTTTTGCAGTTTTTAAAAATATGATTAATGATTGTATATCCTGTGAGATGAACGACTAAAGAAGATTAGGGTTTAGGGTTTAGGGTTTGTGGTTTGTGGTTTGTGCAGACCCTAAGGGGAAGCTGCGTTTATTATACGAAGCGAACCCGATGGCTTTGCTTGCAGAGCAAGCTGGTGGAGAAGCAACAGACGGCTTTGATCGCATTCTTTCAATTATTCCTAAAGATCTTCATCAGAGAGTGCCTCTCTTTGTCGGTAGCTCTGCTTTAGTTCAGCATATTACTCAGCTTATGAATACACACAGCCCGCAGTGTAGACTACATGCAGATACACTCGCACCCTAGGCATTAACCTGCTTCACCTCATCAGAAGCAGCAACAGCAGCAGCAGCTCCTGCTGCTCCTGCAGTAGCAGCTCCCGCAGCAGCAGCAGCTCCTGCAGCAGCAGCAGCAGCAGCAACTCCTGCAGCAGCAGCAGCAGCTCCTGCAGCAGCAGCAACAACAACAGTTGGTGCTGCTGTTGCTGGTGGTGCTGCTGCTGGTGCTGTTGTGAGGCGCGGAAGCTGCGCGTGTATATTTTTGTATTTATATCTTTGATATATATATTATATAATATATATATTATATAATATATATTTTTTATAATATATATATTATATAATTTGTGCATATATGCATGTTTATATTTCTTGTATACGAAGCCTATGCTGGCGTTTAAACATTTTTTTATTATTAACGCCTTAGAGAGCGGTTTATATATATATATTAAATATAAGTAGAAATACAAGTTTCTATTTATATATATTTATATTATTTATCTACATAAAGATAATGTAATATGTAATGTATACATACGTACATATAGTGCTATATATAGAATATATAAGTAAAATATATGTGTTATATATATATATATATATATATATATATATACGCACTATATATATATATGTTTGTTGTATATAATATAGTGCTATGCGTATATATATATATATATATATATATATATA